GTGGTGCCTACCCGAGAACTTGGCATGCAAGTGAGTGCAATCTGCTTTTCTTCAACATTCAGGATTTAATAACAATTTTCTTCTCTCCCTTTGGGTCAAATAGTGAAAGAAATAGAATTTAAGAAAGAAAGTTTTCCAAATTTGGGCCCTTAGAATAATAAAGATTATATAAGATGAATGAATCACTTATGGAGGTTTTCTGTTTCTTTTTATGGAAGGTTACAAAGGTTGCCCGGATGTTAGCTGCAAAACCCATGGAAAATGAAGTAGAGCAGAATTTTTTTTTTTTGGGTACATAGCATACTAATTTAAAGTCTAAGATCTAAGGAACATAGTCCCCACAGCATCTCCATGCAAGAACATACTGATCCCAGAAGGTGGAGTCGGATAAATGGTAGCACCCAAGGATGATTTGTGGCCCAAGGACGCCATAAAATCTGCATCTGAATTCCCTTCGCGAAGTGTATGGCGAACGATACAAGTACTAAAACCACCAAGTAAGACCAAAATATCAGAAAGCAAGACAGAATAAGGTCCCCTCTGTACTTGATGAGTTTGAATTAAATGAATGGCCATTAGTGAGTCCATCTCCATGATGAGATATTGCAGGTGTAGGGGGTGAGCGAGTTTTAATCCCTCACGACAGCCCCAAAGCTCAGCAATAAAACTGGAAGTGACACCAATATTGATCGTGAAACAATGAACCCAACGACCCAAGTGATCTCGAATTTGTCCCCCTAAAAGGATACTAGACCCATTGCCTATTTTCAAAAAGAGAAGATACTACACCATTTTGTTTCCCTTTTTTCCTCTCTATTTTTCTTAAATTAAACATATCATTAGAAATATTTTTTAATACACACAAAAATATAGTAAAGAACTTTAGGTGTGTACGGTACAACAAATTCCACTGTTTAAATTCAACATATTACACATACAAATCAAGAAAAACTTGAAGAAACTTCACATGTATGTAGGTTGGCAATTTGCTTGATCCTTGCAGGTTTCATAGGAATCTCTGTTACAAGGACAGGACAAGAAAAAATATTTCTTTTTGCAAGACTAGGATGAGGGGCATTTTCCTTTCATAAAATTTTATGGGAAATTTTCCTTACCCCACGAGCCCTTGCGAAAATCTCCATCCTTACAAAAAATTTAAAAAATATGTAAATTAATTCTATTTTAAATTTAATTCAATCTTCAAATCCAAACCCAATCCAATAAAAATTAAACTTAATCCAATTTTACCCAACCCAACCCATAAAAATTAACCTAACCGATCATTAACCATTTAACCCTAACCTTACTCATTTCTCATCACTTTCACCTTCAACCTTCCCCTCCCCTTCTACGCTAGCACACTGCTATCCTCACCTGCCACCCTTCTACCCTTCTCAGTTCTCACCCTTTTGCCCTCACTTTCACCTTAAATCTCAAACCCTCACTTTCACTCTTCAAGAATCTCAAACCCTAAATCTCAAACCCTCCATTGTCGCCTACTTATCTGTTGCTGGAGCTGCTGCCAAAGCCACACTGCTACTGAAGTGGACTACTACACATTGCTGCTGGCTATTGTTGAATCCATCTAGATAGCTAAGGTGTTGAGTTGGCTGCCTCCTTTCATATTGGAATTTGAATGTTGGTTTAGTTATTTTATTTATGTTGAATTGATTTTTACTTATGTTTAGAACAAATGTGTTGGTTTAGTTATTTATGTTAGATTAATCTTTGTTTATGTTTGAAATAAATTTGTTGATTTAACTATTTATGTTTGGATAATTTATATTTAATTCTATATTTAAAAAATTGTAGTTAATTATACTTGAATTTTTAGAATTTTATTCATTGTAATTG